TGTGAATGGTGGGTGGGTTTCTTGCTGCAGGATGATATGGGTAAAGCTTTTGCATGGGCTCCCAAATCCAAACAAAGGCGTTCATTAGCAGACTTGCTTTCCTTGCATGGGGGTCTGCAGCCCCTGAGGAGCTCTTGGGTCTTGGAGCCCTGGTGGAGCCCAGTTTGCTGCTGTGGCTGCGGCACCACGCTGGGCTGTGAGGGTTTGCTGCCTTTGCTGGGTGGTTTGGAGCAAGCCACATCTGTGGCCGTGTCTGCGGCGCAGAAACCTTCAACGAGGGGATCGTTCCCATTGCTCTGTGTGTTCTCAGCCTCCTGCACCAGCAGGCTTCGAGCTGAGTTTTTTGGGACACCCCAAATAAAGGGTGATCCTGAGTGAGAGCTGCAGATGGGGAGCACCTTTGCCAGGGCGGCTGGAGGATGGGGCTGACCCCGGAGCTGCTGGAAGGGCTCTGCCAGCAAGTGGGTGCCATGAGGAACCTTGCAGAGGAGCCAAGGGGGTGACAGGGGATGTGGGTGCAGAGCTGGAGCAGCACTGCCATGCTGGGGCCAGCGTTTGCCTTTGGCTACGATCGGATGAAATTGGAGCCAGAGCCTTGGAGCTGCTCCGGCCTGGGATAATTGGGACCGGGGTCCAGCCGTAGCGTCAATCCTCTCTTAAATTTGCGCCCTGCATTTGTTGCTGGTGATGGGCGGGTGACAAACGCAACGGAACAGGGGTGCTCTGGATGCCCTGGTGTGGGTGGTCAGGCTGAGACACTCCCGGGGCAGGGGGGTGCTGAGGACACTCATCCGCGCCGTGCCGCAGCGCTTTCTATGTCTGTCCCCACTGACGGCCACCTCTGTCCCCTGGAGCCTCCCCATCCCCGTTGCCTCTCTCATCCGGTGCTGCCCACGTTCCACAAAATTGTAGGGTGTGAAGCTTTCCTTATTTGCTGTGGGGTGGTAAAATGGCTGTGGGAAGGGTTGAGCCGAGTTCCCTTCAGTTCAGACTTCCTGCTGGCTAAAACCTTGCCTTTTTTAATTAAAAAAAAAAAAGAGAACCTGGAGCCAGGCACAGGGTGTAAAAACTCCCTTGAGGGCTGCCCAAAAGGATCGCAGCTTCTCCATCTCTGAAGTGTTCAGCCACCGGTGCCGAGGCTGATTTTTCCCACTGTGCCAGAGCACGAGCATCCCGGTATTTCCTCCATGGGAGAGGAGAGTGTTTCTGCAGGCAGAGCCGATGTCTTGTTTGTGGCCCCCAGCTCCCCACTGTCCCCACCGTCATGCTCTCTTGTAGCACTGACTGGTTTCCATGCTATACCAGTAAGCTGGAGGCAGCATCCAGGTGTCTGCGTGGCTGGGACAAGACAGCGCCCTTGCTGAAAGCGTGGGTTTTCGCTTTGCTTTCACAGTTCCTCCGCAGTGGAGGAGGAGGAGGAGGAGGAGCAGGACGTGATGGAGCAGAGCTGCTCTGAGCTGGCCCTGCTCAAAAGATGTAGGATGCTGGAGGGAGAAGCACGGGGTGCACAGCGTGCCTATGGCAGCGCTCAAGTGCAGCCCTGGTTTAATTCAGGGGATTCCAGGCAGAGCATCCAGCAGTTGCATTTTCCAGTGCCCTTCATCCCACGCTGGAGGGCAGCTCCTCTTTGGGAAGGATCTGCCGTTGTTTGCCATGGTGGGGTTTCCGTAGACAGAGGGCCGTTGGGAAGCTCTGCCAGTGGGCTTTCGGGTCTGCAGGTGGGTACAAAAACCCGAGGAGCACCTCTGAAAGTCACCCACAACTGTGCCGTGGCTGCAGAGGGCAGTGCAGGAGAGGGGGCCCTGGAAGGGTCAGGGACATTCCCAGTCCCACTGGGATGCTCCTCTGGAGCTGCCTCCTGTGAGGGTTGGATTTGCTCTGCAGGATACCAGGCTGGAAAAAGGGATTCATCGATACAAACTCCACATCCATCCCGTTCATCGGCAGCTGGGTGGGAGCAGGGAAGAGTTCACTCGGGCGCTTGGTTTTGGCGCTGGGCATCGTTGGTGGAGCGGGAGCCAGCCACAGCCAGGCTGGTGCTCTGCCGCCCAGTGCCTACGGCCACGTTTCGGAGGTTTCTCCACAAGCAGTGGCTGGGAGATGGGCAGGACCGTGCAAAAAAAGGCTGGCGCGCTGCTGGGGAGGTATTTGCTCTGTAGGCATCAAAGCCTGTTGGGCTCAGCTGTGCCGGGGGGCTGGGGTCGGGGAGGCTGAAAGCTCCTTTCAGTGCATCAGGGGCTGGACCAAGTGCCGCTGCCGACGTCGTGGACACCAACGGGGGTCAAGTCAGCACCAAATTTCCTATAAATAAGTGAAAGAAAAGTGTATTTTGGCTGAAGCACAGCACACGTGCCTGTGCTGGTGTGTGTGGATCTCATGCTGGTTTCTCCCCGCCTGGCTCCAGCCTTGCTGGGAGCGGCTCCCCCACCATCGGTGCACAGCGGTTTTTGCAAGGGGAGAAGATGGAAGCACTGGGGAGGTGCAAGGGCTGAGACTGTGCTAAAGCTTTCCTGTTCCTCCATGGCTCAGTGAGGACTGGGGGGGACGCGTTGGTTGCCCTCTTCTGCCTGCTTCGAGCAAAGAGGCCATGGGCTGGGCTGCCTGCAGTGTGCGGGGGCAGACCAAACCCCTTAGCCTATAATTTCCTACCTCATTTTTAGACCAAAATGATATTTTGTGCTTTTCCGGCCCTGGGTCTGCCCCCTCCAGTCCGGGCAGCTTCCTCTGAGCACCGTGCTGCTGCGTGGCTGCCATCGAGCGTTGCCCTTGCACGGTGCCGATGCGGCGCTGAGCACCCTGACACCCACTCCTCGGGCTGGCTCCAGGGTTCTTCCAACGTGCTATTAATTTTTTGCAAAGCCAGATTAACAGATAAGTGGAGAAGGGTGTCCCATTGCTGACCACTGCTGCTAACGGCCGTGGCAGTGCTCATGGTAAAGCAGCTTTTTCGGTTCCCAGTACCAAAGCGCTGGTGCTTGGCTCCTTGCAAAGCACTATGGCATCAGCCTGTGACCCAGGGAGGCCTCATCCTGCCCTAGCCCTGGTACTTGGATCGAGCGGGTTGTAGCATTGATGCTGCATCACCCCAGAAGTGCTTAGAGACCTCCGCGTGCCCCTGGTGCTGGGGGTGGGTTGCACCACCCCTCGTGTGTGGGAAGGGAAGAGCAATGGGCTGGGTGATGCTGTGGATGATGCTGAGATGGGGGTTTGGTGGGGCGATGAGCTGGTCTCCTGATGTCCAGGTCAGGATCAAGCCAGCTCCAGTTGGGGAAACACCAGCACTGGTTTAAGGGACCTGAGCTTCAGGCAGCGAAAATCAGCCCCATCTGAATTTTTGCTTAATATTTTCACTTGCTGTGGCTTGAAAATACTTTGTGAGA